GCGCATATAAACGATATTGCCAGACAGAGTGAACGCCGTTAGGGTACGAAGCCCTCCAGGGACCAACTCGTATGCTATTGTGTATATAAATGTGTGCGTGTTTGTATGTGTGTGAAGGATATGGATGTGGAGATACTACGTCAAATGAAGTAATTGCAGTCTGGGTACTGTAGTATGGTTAAGCAAGGGTAAACATTAGTTGATGTTCCCGCATAGACAATGGAAACGGAGCAACTGGATTGCTAGATGAACCAATGGTGAACCTAGCGTGTATCGTTGCGTAGTCCAACTTAGGGTTAACGGGCTGTTTCTATGTGTCGCGTGTCAATTATCCTCTCTCCTGACACTTTAGTTTAGCCTTCGACACTTCTCTCCTACTCGTTATTCGTAATTAATTATTCCATTAAATTCCTCTCTCTCTCTCTCTCTCTCTCTTTTGTGCAAATTTCTGCAATGTCTATACACTGTTAAGAATATAGTATTTACTATTTTTATTCTGATAATTATGTTTATGCGATTTTAATTGTCATTTGTGCTTTTTACTCTCCCATTTTACGATTCGAGTTTCATTTTTCTACTAACACACACACATCTTTTCATATTTATTTAATATCATTGAGAAATGGTCATGTTTTTTTACCGTCTGGATTTTATTTTTTATTTTTTCGGACGAGTCACCCATCCATTTTACTAACGATACCTGGATTGCTTGATTTTAGTGATCTGACGAGAACTATTTATCCAATGTAAATATAGAAATGTGTTTATTTTAAGCCGATTAATTCAACGTGGCTATGTCATTGAATATATGTGTGATTTTCATTATTTTATTATATGTAAAATTAGATGAGGATAATTTGGTTTTGCCAAGCGGTTACCCCATCCAAGGCCAAATCGTGCCCAATGTTATTTGACTTTAGTGATCAATTGAGAACTTTCTGATCATAACGATATATAATTATATTATTAATATAAATGAAAAAATTTATTATATAAATTACGTATTGTTTGCATACAAAAAAAAAGACTTAGACTTAATATTTATATATATATATATATATTATGAGTAAAAAATTAATTATAAAAATTATAAACATAATTTAAAGAACTTTACGCGTTTCGATTTATTTCTACAATTTATTTTTAAATCAAACGAGGTGATAGTGCGAATAAAATCGTAAAAATGATTTTTCTATTATTTGTTGTCAGCTTATTAAATTTATCCGATCGTATTTCTTTTAATAATAATATCGAAATTAATATAGAAAAGATTTAACGGCTGAACAGAACCATCCGATTTTGTAATTTGGCCAGCGTATCGAAATATCGTTCCAGTCATTTCGATTTGTTCGGTTTAATGATCGAACTCTCGTTCGTACGTTCCGATTCGATGCAACAAAAATTGCGATCACTACGATTTTTATCTTTATTGGATAACCATGTATGTATGTATGTATGGATGTATGTGTACATGTATTTGTACCACTCGTATCTCTCACTCGAACAAACTCGAACACTTTTTAGTACGAGGAGAAAAATAGAATTCGCGATAGATTGTGAGCATTGTGAACGCCATATCGTTTTCTTCTTCCCTCTTCCTCTCTCTCTCTCTCTCTCTCTCTCTCTCTCTTTTTATCTTTTTATTTTATCCTATATATATACACACTTTTTTTTTATGAGATCCCCAACTTGAAATAATCGTGAATTAAAGTCGGAGAAATTCGATTATTTCGAGAGAAAAAAAGAAATTAATACACGCATATACGTCCCATAATAAACGCAATATGTATTAAAATTTATGAAAGTTCACATAATATAATTATTAGTTAAAATTATTAATTTAATTTTCAATTTTGTATAATAAAAAAGAAAAGAAAAGAACACTTGTGGATAACATTATACTTCAACAATTATATTCAAAATAAATATTTCATATTTATCTAATTATTAAATTTGATATATTTTTTTTAATATTAAAAACATCGTTCTATCTATAAATACACAAAATTCAATTTTTTATTATTTCGGTGTAGAATGTTCGAAAGAATCGTAGGCAAGTAAATAGATCGATTTAAACGATTGCGGTCGTTTGCACGCGTTCGAAAAAACGCATCGTTTCCATATCCATTCATGGTTTGTTGTGGCGTCACATTTTTATACCGGATTGAAAGGAAACTTTTTTATTATACGCCTCGCTAAAGTTTTTTATCACTCGAAGTTACTCCTCCACCTTGCATCCTCTCTCTCTCTCTCTCTCTCACCCAACCACTCTCCCCCCATTTTCTTCTCGAGGTTTATTCTCGAATAATCGGAAAAAGAAAATGAGTGAGAGAGAAATAGTTGTTGTTGAACGGGATTAGAAAGGTAAAGTATTCATAGTGAACAAAATAGAGACACAGAAGTAAAGAAGAAGGGAAGGGTGTGGTTGACGGAGAAGGGGGAAGTGAGAAAACTCGTCGACTTTCAAATTGCCGGAAAATTCGTTCGAATCGTTGAATCGTTGACCGTCATTTTTTGTCGTCGTCGTTGTGTCGATTTAATCGATTTCTGTTTTGGTGAACAATACTATTGCTGCACGACACTTTGCTTTCGTTTTCTATTTTTTTGGGGCTTTTTGTTTGTTTTTTCTATCTTTCCTTTTTTTTTAACATCCAGAGAGAGAACGATGATAAAGAAATGAATTGAGTCATTTCATTCCATGCTAATGATGAAAGAGAATTGGGAAGTTTTTGATTAAAAATTTGATTCTATATTATTAGTCGAGAATCATTATACAGGAAATATTATTTTTTTGTATATATTTTATAACACACAAATCTAGATTTTGTTTTATAAAATTGGATTAAATGAGAAGGGAAGTCAGAGATACAAAAAAATGTTTATTAATTATAGTTTAATGAATATCAAATAATAATTCATGCATGCATGTATTATAAAGATTTTAAATAATGAAAAAAATGTATGTGTAACGCGTTATAAAAGTAGTAGAATTATATCTATTATTTCGTTCTAGATTGCCTGGATTATGGGATCGGGTAATGTACGACATAACAAGTACAACACATGGGATACATAAAAGTATTTTATATATATAAAAGAAGAGCAGTTATTTCGAAGGGGCTAGAAAGTCCTGAGTCTAGTAATAGAAGATTGAAAAATTCAGAGACTATCATAAAGAGAGATACAAATTTTTATCATAATTTTTGAAAGGTTGCGATAAGATTTTTTCATACTTACACGGGAAACGAATGGAAGTAATACTTATTTATAATAGAAATGTACTGTGTCTGATACGTAGAGAAGAATTAAAAAGTTCTGAGTCCAGCACGTGTGGAAGTCATACTAATATTATTGTTTAATATTTAACAGATGTTCTTCTTTTTTGAAGTATAAAAATATAAATGTCTTACAAATTAAATTGTCTGTGAAATCATTTCAAGATAATTGTAAAGAAATTAAAAAAAATATGGAGAAAATCGTCACGAGTTGTTACTGATTCATCCGAGCAAAAAAAGGTTTCTAGTGCAAATGATTAATTGCAGTTAAAGTTTCGATCGAAATAATTGACGAATTATTGTTTTATATTAATAGTAAAAATATAGTATTTCTATCATATCGTAGAGATAAACTTGAACTCATTAAACGGAATTGTAGTGGTCTATCAATACATATATGTCTACGTATATATATATATATATATATATATATACTCCTCCCAGGATACTTGTACCCTTCCTCTTCATTTCTCAGATTCCCCCTTTCCCTTGTGGTATTCTCTCAACGAGTAGGACGAAGAGGGGCGTGTGTACCCTCCTATCGATGTCAAACACGAGAAGCAGAATTCCTGAGATTGCGGTTCGACAGATCAACCAGGGAATGGAAGACGGGAACGAAGAGGTGGAATTTCAAGGCTCCTGCCACATCAGCGTCTGTAAGACGACCGTTTCAAGAAAGGGAAGATAGGGGAGAATGGGAGAATAGGAGAATGAGAGAAAGAGAAGAAGAAAAAGAAGAAGAAGAAGAAGAAAGAAGAAGAAAGAAGAAGAAGAAGATAGAAGAAAGAAGAAAGAAGAAAGAAGAAGAAGAAAAGTCAAGTACAATATGTTTTCCTCGATTTTACGAGGACAACGGGATACGAAGGAAAATATGTTGGAAGTTGAGGGTGGAAAAGTAATATTCGCACCCTTCCATTCATAGCGTTAAGCGTTCCTGACTATGACGATACTTTTTCGATCTTTTTTTTTTTACTTTTCTTCGCAAAATGTATTATCATGAAACATGAAAAATGTTCGTAAGTACATATTTGATGAATATTTATGGTAATCATAAAAAGAAAAGAGAAAGAAAGAGAGAAAGAGAGAGAGAAAAGTTAATTCGTCTGTACAAAATGTCTATTTTTTCAATAAATCTAAAATAATAAAATTGTATTATTTTTGTTAATCAATTGACACAATAAAATGTTACCATTTTTTTTCCTCCTCTTTAATTAGTCAAATTAATTTCAATATACAAGTTTCCTCTTTGTTTTTATGTATTATTTACTATCAAAGTAATTTCGTAATTATTTTTTGGAAATATTCTTAATAATTCCAATAAGAAAATATTACGCATGTGTATTTAACCATATTGACGCGAAAATTGAATACGAGAAAATTAAACACGTTGGGAGACATTTTATAAATAAACAAATATATTTCTAAAATTTCAAACGAATAATCGAAACCATAAGAGAAAAGAAAAAAAAAAACAAAAAAAATAGAAATATTTCTCTAACAAATATATAAAAAATCATTTAAATGTCACATATAACCACTGATTTATCTTCCTTACTTAGAATGTCTACTTTAAAAGAAGATAAAAGTCCAATCGAATTAGATCGTTTTTTTATCAACTAAGACGACATAGCTTTTCCAACCCCTTTCCCCGTCAAACCCCACTCTACTTCTTCTTCCCTTTCTCTCTCTCTCTCTCTCTTTATCCTCATAGATAAGAATACTTACTTACTACGAGCTTACTTCTTTAACCTCTTTTCGTCGTGTGTCTCCTCGAATCTCGATTTCCAAGTCTCATTCAGTTCTCTTAAAGAAGAAAGAAAGAATGTGAAAAAATAAGGGAAAAAAAGGAACAAGAAAAAAAAGAAAAAAAAAGAAAGAAAGAAGAAAAAAAAGAAACGAAAAGATAGAAAAAGATTTCGTCGTTCGAATCGTTAGGATTTACGATTGCAAGGCATTTCTTAAGGTCCTCTACTCTAAGAAGAAACATCTCTCTTAAGAATTCTTACTACTACCTTTCGTTGTGAAAATTCCGCTAAGGAAGAAGGACTCTTTCCTTCAGGGTTTTGTTCTTTGACAAATTATCCCTATCGAGAACAGCTTGGTCACGTCTCGATCTCATACCATTTCTTTTTCTCTCTCTTTTTTTCTTCTTCTTTTCCCTATACAAGAAATCAATCCACTTTTCTTTCTCGACTTATAACGACAAACTTTACGAACTCGTGTATATATATAGATATGTGTGTGTGTGTATTATATTGAAAAAGAGAAGAAACGAGCAGGGGCGGGGAGGGGGTAAGGGCATAAGAAAAAAGAAACGAAATGTATTTCTTCATGAAAATTGGAAAAAGAAAAAAATAATTTTCCCCATCGTACCCCACCTCACCTTACCCCATCACACATTGAAAAAAAAAGATATAAAGGAATAAGATACAGATTTTCGTTTCGATATTAAATTGGAGAATAAAATTGAAGAACAATGGATAAAAGGAGGAAGGAGATTGGGTGAAAGAGAATAGGGATAGGAAAATATCGTTGAGAAACGATATAATATAACGAAGGATACATCGGAGAAATCTCGTTCACGAAAGATACACGAAAGATACACGATAGGATCGGCAGGATTTAGAACCTGTAATACCAAACTCGACGTCTGCCGTTGTGGTCGGCTTTACTATAGGTACCTACGTGTTACAAGAGAGTTGTTAGGATTACGCTAGTTTAGGATAAACCAGAAACTTCTTCTAAATTGTTATACGTTTTCTTCTGATTAGATTTGAACAAATATATATATATATAATCTATATGTAATCTATTTTTCGTAAGATTGAAATCGATGTAAAATGAAATTTTAAAAAATTTTTTATGAGTAAATTGTAAAATAAACGTTGTGGTTCTTTTTATATTTTTTGTTTTTTCTTTGTTTTTTTTTTTTTTTAAACAAAATAACAACGACACGAGTAAAATCCGTAAATTTGATTAATCGGATTGCGGTCGATAACCAATGGTTTCCTCTGAAAAGCTGAGTAATCGGGTAGCGGTCGATGAAGCGGTTGGATAAACGTCTTCGTAAAGTTATAACGGTTTAAAATGAATTTATGCAACGAACTGATATCAATTAAACGATTATTTATTGATATAACATGCGATTTTGATTTATCAATTCTTTATTTATGTTTAATTTCATACGTTCAATTCGTCAAAACTTTTAGATAAACCTTATTCGAATCAAATCTTGTGCAATTTTGAGATACGGTTAGTTCGATTTAAAAGAAAAAAACAAATATAAAAATTCTTACTCTCTTGTTGTTACCAATGTATTATATATACTATTGTTATTATTCGAGAATTTGTTTTTTCGTATTCCGATTCATTCGGAATAGGGTTGCATTATAGATCGTGTGAAATCCAAGTGTTTGACCTCAATCGAGAGATTCGTTGAAACTGGATCATTTGGGTTACAAAGTTGATGTATTCTAGGAATAATGATTGCATCGAACAGTAAATCTCACTATAGATCTAACACATTTATAAATTCTTAAGATTCTAACGTATGACGTGATACAGTACCAACACTCCTGCCTCCTCCTCCCAGATTTATCAACTGGTGCACCTGTATATTTCCATATGCTATGTATACGTTGAGTATTAACTTTCCTGTTAAAGAATTTGAAATTATATCTTGGAATGTATAAATGAATTTAATATAACGTTTTGATTTGATATTTCATATTCGTTCCTTTTACATTAATATTGTTAATGTTAAACGTTTGTTTGGTCGAACTATTGATATCATATCCGTAGAGAGAGAGAGAGAGAGAGAGAGAGAGAGAGAGAGAGAGAGAGAGAGAGAGAGAGAGAAAGCTACGTCATGGACATCCAATATATATACACACATACATGTGTCGAATTAATAACCAACCTCTTGTGTGTCTTGTAATCCTGTCATACGTAATGCAACATGTTAAATGACCCGTTGGTTCGGCTTTTGCTTAAAAGTAGGTCGATACCAGTGACACAATGTCGTGACATGGAACGTTACATGGTCACGATCTAACGATAAGAAATAAACGAAATCCAACATGAATATATTTCACCTAAACTCTCACTTTCCTAATTTCATTTGATATTTTTTTTCTTTTCCACATATTCTTTTCCATCTTTTTTTTATCCGTCATCGATTTTCAATTAAAATTATTTTCTTGATTTATATCTTTATCTTAAAATGTAACACATAATTCAATATAAACGATACTCTTGAATATATTTGTCATTTATTTCAGTATTTAATTCGAATACCTAAATATCTATTAAGCTTCTAATCTAAATTAATGAAGTTGTATGAAATCTACTACTAAGGTAAGGCACGATAAAAAGAAAGAAAGAAAGAAAGAAAGAAAAAGAGAAAAATGAAATGACTTTCTAACGATAAAAGTTAAGCTGTCCGAAAGAAAGTAAGAAAAAAGTAAGACAAATTTTTATCTTCTCGTCTTCTAACGATCGTTGAACGATAACCATGTCCCTGAGAGTTCTCAGGAGGATCTAGATACGGTATCGGTAATTCCCTTTAAGGCGTACTTTCTCGACTGAATGTATGTGCACAAAACCGCGTCGAAATTTATCTCGGTCTACGTTATCGTAACCGTTATCATTATCGTTATCCTTTTACTAACAGAGAAAGAGAGAGAGAGAGAGAGAGAGAGAAAGTGTTAGAACTTAGGTATTATTAACATTACAATGATCGTTATCGTTCACGAAATTTATATCAAGTCAATTTCAAATAAATTCTAATCCTTTTAATGCTTTTTAACTTTATTATATACTTTATTCTCGTTTATAAGAAAAAAAAAACAAAAAGAAAAGAAATAGATTTACGAATCGTCGAGATCAATAATTTCGAATTAAATGTCACACACGTATGTCTGTCTGTCTGTCTGTCTGTCTGAATGTATAAGTGTGCATGCGTGTGTGTGTGTTAGTTCATAGGAACATACTTTACGTAACGTTAAAAGCCCGTAAGTGAATGAATTTATTGTACCCTTTTTTTTCTTCCTTGTTTTATTTTTTTTTTTCTTTCTTTTGCCAAAGGCCAGCATCACACCACCACAACCAAGCTGGCCGGCCAACTCTAGCACAGTTTTCCGCGATAAAATATTGCGCGCGATAGTTGAAACAACGGAAACGGGCGAGACCTTTAATGGACGCATAAAAATGCGCGTAAACGTGTCGTGCTCGGCGCATTAAGCGATTAGAACGCTCGCTGCCTGTTAACTATCAGCCTTGGTTCGTTCACGAATGCAACGTTTAATTAAAATCGAAATATTCCGCGACGTGATTTAAATACTCTCGTCAAAAAGGGTTTCGAATTTAAATATATATCCCTAACTCTTTGATGTTTAAATACGAATTTACGTCGATGGAAGTTATATAAATAGAAAAAAAAAAAAAAAAAATAGAAAGAAAGAATAAAAATGCCCAATTGGTTTTTTTTTCCTATCGTTAGTAAAAATAATATTTAATATTTATTTTGAATAATTCAAATATTGCGTTACTATATTAGATATTTTACAACATCAAGTACGAAACATCGTATTTACTTTGATTATAATTCTCACTTTGAAATCGAATATTTAATATTTAATCATCAAATGTAATATTAATTGTCTACAAGTGTGTGTGTGTGTGTGTGTCTTTGAATAATGACAAAAAAAAAAGGGGAGAATTTTCGATGTTGATGAAAACTTTGATGAAAAAATTAATTGCGAATATTAGAAGATGAATTGTCGTTTATTAAAAAAGAAAAAAGAAAAATCAAACAGCGACGATTAATTTAACGACATTGAAAAATTATACGAAAAATCCAATCAAGGTAAATTTAGAGTTCATGTTTTTTAAATATACATAACACTAGCGGTATAGTAATCCTGAACGAAACGTATCGTTGATCGTTCCTCTCTTCGATATTTTTAATCCTGCGCGAAAATTGAATATCGTAAAAATGTCCGAAGCAAAAATTGAGGCATTATGAATCGTTGTAACGTGAATCCAAAAGAAAGGTTAAACAAAAAAAGAAACGAAACGAAACAAAACAAGAAATAAAAAAATAAAAAAAAGAGAGAAAGAGAGAATTGTTAGTTGAGGCTCTGCTAGTGTAATATGCGTCTAGATCATAAAGATAAATTGACAAGTTGTAACTCGAGCTTAGTGTCCTAAAAAAAAAACTTTGACAAATGTTTATAATGGATACTAGTACCTATATAGGGGTTTTCGTCTTTTTTATTTTATTTTATTTATTCTTTAGCGTAACAAATATTGGCATATCGTCGAAGAATTTGGGTCATTCGTGTGTGTATATGTTTCGTTCGACTGGAAATAAATTTATCTTTGAGACAAAATATTGTTTTTAACTTTTGACACTTAACATTACTCGCGTTGGCACTTCGATTTAAAAGTATGAGCTTGTAATAACGCGAAATATGGAAACGAAAGTGCAGAGTCAGAAAGAGAGAGAGAGAGTGAAAGAGAGAGGGGGTGGGGGGGGGTTAAAGAGAGAGATAGAAAACAAGATCGTAAATCTCTCGCCTCTATCGAGAAACAGTCCGGTAGGATGCATAAAACTTGAAAGCGCTAAAACATGAGCTCGTGTATGAGCAGTTAGTTCGCGTAACTTATGGCTTACGGTTTGAAACCAGGAAGAGTTTAGCGGTTGCTATCGAAATATCGTATGTCAACATTTCGAACGTCGTGTCGACATTTTGTTCCTCGATTTTTCAATGTTCTATTTTACCAAATATCTACCGTTTCAT